CATCGACACACACAGCGTACACGCCAGCTTCTGCAGACAGCACACGGAGGTCGGACAGGTACACCCGCGACGAGACGGAGGTGTTAACACACACATCAAGGCGCACCACCTCATCCCCACTGCCAGTAGTCACACGGGGGCAGTTGTTGCCAGGGCACCGCACCAGGAACACACGCCCCGGCACATTTACCACAGATTCTGCATTCCGCAGCACGACATTTCTGTCTTTACCAGCTGTCAAGTACAGCGGCGTGGCCATCAGCACTTTCACCACAAGAGATTTCACACCCCACGGAAGGTATTGGTCATTCCAGTCATTTGACGTGACACAGAGCCAGTATTCACCTGGAGGGGGAAGATGTGTGGGTGGCAGCATTCTGTAGCACCCAACAGTGTCAGTGCAGGTTGTAGTGGTGTACTGGCAGTCAATGAAAGAGCGGACCAGCATGTAGTTGGAAACCGTGGTACCGCTCGGGAGATTGGGTGCCAACGATACACCCATACCGTAATACGGATAGAGTGTAGCAAAATCCACACGGGTCTCTCCAATCATCATGAAGTTCATGCTCTTATTGGTCGTCAGAGGAAAATATAATTGTTCTGCGTCAGAAAACCATGTGAAGGCCAATTCCCAACGTCCTGAAGCCCCCCCCATAATAGGCACGAATGTAATGGTATTGGCTTCCATATCAAGAGTTGCCGGCCCGAAGGAACTGAGACCTGCTGGGTTGTAGTACGAGGCGGAGAGCTTCGATTCATTCACTGTTGGGGTATTGCTAAGTTCGCAGGTGTATGGGATGGCTGAAGGATTGAGTATTACGCTGGGAAAGCAGCTCGTGAGTGTCACCAAGGGATCGTCATCGGCTGCAGGCGTGGCCGTTCTCGTTCGGGGGACCACGCCACCAACCGCAGCAGCACAGCGAAGAAACGGTTCAATCACAACCATCAGTACCAGAAACAACACCTGGATGTCTCTCAGCTGTAGTCCCATAGATGTCTGTAGTCTCGCCTTCCTTCTGCCTCGGCACAGGATTGAAACAGGTTCACAGAGGCCCATATCGCCGACACCGCAACTGTCAATGCTCCTTGTTATCTTGCAACACCGTAGATGTGACAATTGCGATTTCCCTTCCATGTGCCTCATGTTGATTGATTGCTTGGAGGGATAATAGTTCTACCAGGAGCCGCTTGTCTTGGTTCAGCAAAAAAAGAATCAAAGTGCAGCGAGTAGTATGCAGAGCATAGGCAATCAGAAACAGAAGAACTTCTACAGTGGACATATCACCATGCTTCTTTACTTGGGGTTTCTACTCGCATCCCAGTAAAGAAACATCACTTGTGCTTCTCCAATAAGATAACTGTGTTTTATCAGTAATTTTTCGGCACACACTTCTTTGGGGTTTCTCTCTCCCCCCTGCACCTCAGCACAGCCACTACACAGCTGCTTCCATACACTTCGCACCAGCAATCCCCTCAATGTCTATTACACCACTCCAAGAGACACATCAGGTGGCCAGCATGCCCTGAACGCGTGTCAGCGTCGCTTGCGTCACTCGTCAGAAGCACATGCTGAGGCACTAAGTCTGGAGACCACGCCACCACACTGTCGCCTGCAGGGTGATTCGTATCGTTATTGTGTTGCTTGGGAAGAAGCCAATCCCTCAACAAGGAATACACACACACACCTCCTTCCTCACTCCCTTTCAAACCACACCCAATTATTGTTATCGTCACTCACCACAAAAGACCCACAAACACGAGAGGAAATCCCACCTTCACCCTGCTCCTTGAACACATGGTGAGCACCACAAGTATATACAGGAACAACCCACGTCACTCTTTTGATAAATGACATTTAATATTCGTGCAGTCGGCACACGCGCGGGAAAAAAAGTGTGCGTCACACCATTCTGCAGTGCGGCAAAGGTCACATGTTCAAATAGCTTGCCGCGCCGTCAGGAGTGAACAAAAAAAATGCATGAAACAGCATGTTGTGTTAGCCCCAGTTGCGTCTTGTGTGGCATAAAGATCAAACCGGTGTCGTTTCGCTCTTTTAACTGGCGTTGACACGAAAAGTGTATCTTACTTTTTTTGTGACTGTCAAGTATCCTACAAGGACAGAGTCCAAAGAAAACGGCTGGTCAGCGCCGGGTTACACACGCCCGTGCCAACGTAAGAAAACCAATAATGACGCATACGTTTCAATGACGAGAAATCGCAAGCACCACATCACCAGAGACAAGTGTCGTTTACAGTTAGTATGGTCTCTGCATCTCGCTGCCCCACTCTTCTAAACAAATTGTTTGGAGTTTCAGCACACGTCGTCTCCGGTTCAAATTGCATGATATATATATATATATATATATATATGTATTTGGTGGGGAAACGGGTTCCTGTGGCCCAATTTGCTTGGTAGCGGTATAGTTTTGTTCTTTTCCCTTCACATTAACAGCGCCGACACAGTCAATTGCCTTATGTGGGCAACAGACAAAACAACAAAAAACAATGCACTAACATTCTCTGTGTAGCGTCATCCTCTCCCTCGCAATTGGTGGCGTATCAGTATTTATTCACGGGATACTATTCGACTTACTTCTGCAAAACCAATTATGCATAGGCAGGAAGCAAGCGCGAAGAACAATATTCGAAGCAAGTGTCTCACTTCTGTAGGAGACAAGGGATTGACCCGTTTTGCATATAGTGACTAGTCTCGTCCAAACTCCGTGAAGTGTAAGATATACAAGCACCAAAACAACACAAATATCACGTTCAATGTGACTACCAGGCATGCGTTATCATGGCGATCAAGATGAGTTTTTTTCGTTACAGAGCGGAGGGGCTAGGCTCCACCAATAGGTTGTGATACCAGAAGGTCAGAAGAAAATAAGTGCAGAACCTCAACACCTTTAGATGATCTTGGCAAATGCAAAAACACCGGGGAGGGGAAAGAGCATTCCCCATAGTCCCATTGCATTTAAATACGAATGATAAAGGAAACTGCAGGCACGAAATAGCAAATTTCCAGTTATTCGTCAAAATGCACCTGCCTTGTGCGATTCTCAGCCGCACTCTGTTCTTTAAAAAAAAAACCACAATCTTATTCAGGGTGCTACTTCCTGGGTAGAGTGCCGGTCGCGAGACGTCTGGCAACCGGATCCTGGAGCACACTTCGCGGCACCGTTGTGGTAGGGAGACCGGGTAATGTAGGAGGTGCAAGACTATCTCCGTCACGAACCGGCCGAGGCATGGGGGTTTCGGGGCCTACATGAAGACCCTTTTTTAGCTTGGGTTTCCTTCTGTAATGGTCATAAAATGTACTGTGCTTTCCACTCCGAATATCCACACAAGCCTGAGTTTCGCTGTCGTACTCAGCCTCGTTAATTGGCTGAGTAAGGTAATCGCTATCCAGAGAAGAGCAGAGAAAATTATATCCGTGAAAATTTTCTGGAGTATCTGGTGGCTCGATCGTAATCTTTATCACAGGTTGTTTGGAACCGTCACTATTCATTTGATGGCTTTGGCTATAGAGTTGAGTGCCAAATACAAAAAAGCCCAGAGAGAAAAGGAGAGGAAAAAAATATTTACGCAAGCCAAATGAGAAAACACAACAATAATAGTGCCACTCAGTAACCAGGTCATCTCTCTCCAAACCGGTTCTTCCACACCGAACTCTACTGTCCCTCTCTCCATACGCTCTTCACTCTGCAGACGGTAGAAGCTTCTGGAAATTCTCATGTGTGGTTGCAAGTATCCTTGAGAATCGAAACAGCGCACGGGAGCCTGGACGCTCAGGGGAATAAAAAAACGTCCAACTAACATATTCTTTTTTGAGCAATGCAGCTGTCGTGACGAGAGGTGTAAATCATGTCTTTTCGTTAAACCGGTTCATGATCGTTGCACACACTCCGCCGAGTCCCTGCGGAGGAATATAATCGCAGCAACTCCAGTGCAACAGTGCACCAATGAATCTGCACTCATATGGACTCAGACTCTCATGATTTCTTCTTCTTGGCAATAACACCGCTTTTTTAGTCTCAACTGATCCACCACTCCTTGCCGTCCATCCAGAACGATCGGATATGAGTATGTTCGTGCAACAATAACAATAACAACAACCAATTAGCACAGCAGAGGCCTCTTCCTTGACACGAAGGGCGAAACGGACACATGGCGCCTCAAGTGGCGGAGCGATTCGCGCACTCAATGAGAACAACGCGAACCTCGTCTGAAAAATGGACCTTTTTTGTCCTTTGTCGTCGAAGAACCGGTTTACTTACTCTTGGTGTAATTTTAGGATTTTGACAAAACCAAAACTTTGCCGTACGGGTGTCTACTGCAGTCGCACATGAAAAAATAGACCTCGAGAGACGCCTACTCTTCACCCTTTTTGAACGACACTTCGCGCTTTCAGCGGGTCCCACCCCCTGAAGAAGGGATCCCCAGAATAGGGAAACCGCACCCGTACTATTCGTCATATTTGTTCCCTCTCCCCAAACAGTACGAAGCAAAAAAAAAAGGGGGGGGGGGGGAAAGCTACACTGAAAGTGGGAAAGAAGAAATGAAGGAAAGAAAAGGTTGGCGAATAGTTTCACATGGAGAGACTTCTGTCCATCCTCAGGAGGAAACAATACTGTCATTACTACAAAAACAAAGGGAAACACACTTCTACGGGCAGAAGTGAAATCGGGAGGCCCAAAACAAGGGATCACTGTTAAAAGTGTCGTGTGAATCAACATAACGATAGTGCAGCTCTTCATTCTCGGCAATGTCTCTTTCAGCCCTCGCAACAACGTAAAAGGGACAACGGCTCCCATCCATATGCTCCCAAAACTCCAACGGGAATTTTCTCGACTGCCGCACGGCGACTCCAACTGACTGAGGGGTATCAACATATACGACCATGTTCGGCTCGTCATCCGCGTGATTGATAAGGTCAACAAATGGTACTAAAGCTGGGCCACCAAAAACTGCATTAGACCGGGGCACATCAACACAACGGCTACTACACAGTTCATGGGCTCGCTCCATTACCGCGAGAGGTATTTGCCACCCACCTTTTGCAGTATCCTCACTCAAAGCGAGAATGATAGATTTATTCAGCTTTTCAACTGTTTGAAGTCTCGCATACGCAGCTTCTCCCAATTTACGCCTTATGTCAGTATCGCTCTCATGTTCAACGTTAATCCACTGCAGATAGCTGCACAAAGGTCCAACTCCGGAATGCATTATGAGTGCGCAAAACACGGTTGTAACCGCACTTTCTTTGGAGTACTCCACTTGAACACCTTCACCCGTTACGCTGTAGTACGAAAGCACATCCATCAGTCTTGCGCCCCACGGTGAGGCAGCCGCAATGTTCGCTGCAACGCTGCAGACAAAAGGAGCGAGGCAAATCACTTCGCCCGCGTCGAGTCCACCGCCACTCGAACCACAAAACACCCCGTGAATCTGTTTATTAGGAACCAATTGTCGTCGCAGCCCAGGGTGTACAGCGATATTCAGTCGTCCTAGAAGATGGCGCCACATCCGAGAAACAACCTCTCGGAATGCGTGAAGGAGGAAACAAAAAAAAAAAAAANAAAAAAAAAAAAAACGCAACAAAAAAAGTACTTTGGTGATTCCATACGGATTGCTGAAGCCAGACATCTGCGGATGTGGGCTGAGCAAAGGGGAGGGGGGTGGAAACGAGCATCCGAAATATGGCCCTTGGTATTCTGTATGCCTTCACAGCCTTCCAACATCGGAAGGAGGGGAATCACCTGCTGGAAGAGATTGGAGTGCAGCTCGTGCTTTTTCTGCCCTTTCCCGTTGGCGCGCCTCGATCGCGTCAAACCTTGACAGTAGCGCTGCCTCTGTTTGAATAGAAACACCACGAAGAGCGACCTCTCCTTTGTGATCGTCAACCTCGTATCCAGCAATGCGGTATCGTTGTGCCATTTCACGCTCCTTATCACGATGCATTCGTTCTAGTTCTCTCTCGTTGTTAAGATGTAGGTGTGATATTTCTTGGATCTGCGCTCTAAAGGAACTGGTCAACTTGTCGCGCTCCTTGTCGAAGTCATTGCGCATATCCTCGGTTATCTTTTGATAGTACGACTTTAGTTCCGCCTCTTTGGCCATTAATGCCACCTTCGCATCTTGCTCCTCTTGTGATCTTTGCACACGCATCCTCTGCTCTCGCTCACCAAGTTCTCTTTCTCTCCGTGCAATGTCGTTAAGCACATGCAATTCCCGCTCTTTATGTCGTTCTTCAAGAAGTGTCATCTCATTTCGATATTGGTCATACCATCGTTCCTTATCTTGTTCCATACGGATGAGTTTGGCCTGGTAGTCCTTCTCTTCCTTATCCCTCAGCAATATCATTTCTCTCATGGCATCATCGTGCTGTTGCTGATGAGTGTGCATCATTTCTCGCCAGCATTTCGATAAATACTCCTCTCGTTCATTCACAGCTTTAGTCATAATACATTGAAGCTCCTTCACTGTTTCATTAAACTCCTGCACCACTTTCTTCTCACGCTCATTGTAAAAGTCGATAACATCCCTTCGATTCTTCTCATACATTTCATACTGTTCCTGCAGGGCGCACTCCTTGTTCCGAGTGAACTCACTCATGTGATCGCGTAAAGCCTTCACCAAATCCGTTGTGTGTTCCAGAGACATTTCCAGCTCCCTCTGGCGTATCTCAGCCATCTTACGGCCAAGTTCGGCAAGTGTCGCACGGTCCTCGAGGTGCGCGCGTTTCTGCTCTGATTCCTTGAGGCGTATATTCAAGTCATAAGTATTCTTTTCGTATTCCATGATTTGCTGGGTCTTTTTCGTCAAAATAGCTTGCAAGCTTTCATTATTCGATACGGATATTGTGTAATCTGAGGAAAGAGTATCTATTGTTTTTCGCTGTTCGCTAATAGTGCTCTCAGCGACCTCCCGGTAGGCTGCCGCTTCGTGTTCATGCGTTAGTTGAAGCTTGGCCACTTGCTCATAAAAAGATGTCATGCGTGAGACTGACCCCTCAGTTTTTCTCTTAAGATCCAAGAAAGCTTCCCAAACGGCCGCATCCTCAGCAGGACTTGGTGATGTTGTTGCGTTCTCAAACTTGGGTCGTGGAATGATCTTCACATCCGGTATGTTGCCCTTAATGAGAAGTTCTTGCTGGGGCGGGGGTGGGATCGCCGGGAGAGCGAGTGTGGGCATCGTATAGGGCTGGGGCTGAGACGGCCGCAGTCCACTACATTGATGCTGGTTTTGGTGTTGCTGATGTTGTGGTAGATACGGGTGCGGAGCCCCAGTGTATTCATTGGCTACTGTTTCCTGTGAAGAAGGGGGTTTATTTGTTGAGGAAGACAATTGTGGTTTGCCAGGCACTTTATCTATTATGTGCACTTCCTGTTGAGGGACAGACGTGTCACTATCTATTCCAAAACATCTCTTGTCTTCAGTCACCGTGCCCGTGGTAATTGAAGGAGGAGCAGCTTCGATCCAGGGACTCGTAGGTGGCCGCCAACCTCCTCCTCCTCCTCCACCCAGCACTCCTACTCCCTGTCCCTCAAGTGCAAGTTTCGCAGAGGCCGAACACTGCGCTTCTTCTTCATCATTATCAAACAGGGGATTCATTGTCACCCCCTCTTCAGAAAGAAATGAGAGGAAATGGGAAGAGCACGATGACCCAAAGCAGAAAAAAAAAACATGGCAGTGTGTAGGGAGTACCAAACAAGAAATTCCAGGTTAGACCAGGGTACTCGCAGAGTAACTTGTTTTCCGTGGCCTTTTTTTTTCCGTGTCGTTGTCACCTTATCTTATTTTGTTCTTGCCTCTCTCATTTTGGATTATTCCTCCTGCACCAAACCGAGTTTGCCCAAGAGGAGGAGCCTAGAACCTTTTTCTCTTTTAAAGGTTGCTCTTCAGTCATGCGTGGGATGAAGAACTGAAATGGAGGTCCAGTGCTGCGAAGGTGTCGGTACGCGTGCTGCTGCTTAGTCTGATGGGTAAAAAAAACCTTCAGTCGCTTCGTACCATCCGACAGCATCTCCTCTGCATCACATACAAAATCGCCAATGAATTCCTCCAAGACACGAGACACCGAAACAGTATTCACATTCTCACCCTTCATGACGATCACACGACTATAAAACAGCTCGTTATTTCCGCAAATTTCCTTTACGAAGTTCGACGGATTATGCTTCTCATCTTCAGCAACTGCCTCACTAAGCAACGGAACTGGGATGCGAATTTTTGGCGTCCTTGTGAGAAGGCATGATCGATTCGGTTCGGGGTCAACGGATTCCGAGTGTATATAGTAGTACTGACAGAGTGAGTGCACAAACGCACGCTTTTCTGCACGCATTGGTTTCAAACACTTGAAAGGTGCACCACTCGACACAAAACTACCGAGTTCTTCTTCAAATACTCGAACCCACTCCGGATTTTTTACCGCTAATGACCATAGAAATAGGGAGTATTTAACCGCAGATGGCACTGCTATCTTTACTCGACTGGATAGTATTTGAAGTCGCTGTTCAAAGAGGCAATCAGCATTACAGTTTAAAGAAAACTTCTTCTCTGGGTGTTCATCTAGATAGCGGAGGAACTTTTTACAGGAAACACGTTGAATCTGACGTCCACATGCACAACAACATTCTACAGTTTCTGCACATTGTGGACAACCTTTGGAAGAGTGGCATTTAGCCTTACAGGAATGCCCACACTCCTCATGAACTTTCCCGCACGGCCGAAGGCAGGGATGACTCTCATCAATGCATGGCCCAGTATGACACGAACGCTGGCACTCATGACCACAAGACAACAATTTGCCGCATTTTCCATTACAAGACGCATAAGCAGCACTACAAAGAACGTTCCTCACTAGGGTATGCCCCCCCGCACATAGCCTCTCTACAGGAAACGTGCATGGAGGACAATCGCCGTAATGGCAAGAGTGTCGCGCTGACGGGTGGTTGCAAGGAGGTGTGATGGTGCACGGCCGACTGCATTTTGGCGGTAGAGTTCCGCATGGCTGCGGTGGCATTAGAGATTCTGCCCCACACCTACAAAAAAGTCGCTCAGACACCACATGTGCACAGGGAGGACACAAACCACGGTGGCACGGTTCTAGGCATTCGTGATCACAAGGAAGCTTCTTATTGCATACTCGCATACACTGATGCACAGAATCATTTGTCTTTTTGCGAGCAGAGCAGCAAATGAGGCGGCATTCATGCTTTCCACACGTCAACCTTGTTTTGCATGCCTTGTTGCAACGAAACTCAGCTTGATCTTTGCAGGGAACAGACTCTTGTGTTGCCCCACAAACACATCGAGTAAGTAAGCGTTCTTTACAAGGCTTGCATGCCCCATCGTGACAGTTTTCCTGGCATGTATGACGTCCACAATCCAATACACGGCCACAGGCGTTTGCACACGCTGGAATTGGGTCACTACAGTGTGTTCGTACAATTGTGAGCGGAACCACACCGCAAGGACATGTTGAAATAACTGATGGGTCCCTATTGCACGGTGGACACGACCCCGTATGGCACACTAAATCACATGCATGAATTCCACATCTCAATTTCTTACCACACACCTTTCCACATGAAAACATAGAGGACCCACAGGGCATCTCTCTTGTCTCCAAACGACAATAGCACGTCACCTTTACTGTTTCAGGGCATAAATCGCAGTCATCCCAATGACATGTGCGAGTGCAGTTGTGTATACCACAGTTCAGTAATTTCGAGCACGTATTACTGCAAGTTTTCTGCGGATCTTGTTGACCACACCGCCATGTGTAAGTCGTCGCCCCACAGCTGCACGCACGAGGGCCGGCAGTAGCGGTACAGCTGGGACATGGTCCAGGGTGGCACTGCACTGGACATGGGTGCTGACAGAAGGGTCGTGATTTACCGCACGACTGTCCACAGCTATGGGGAGTGATGTGAGGATCATACGGTGGGTCTCGAGCCTTACCGCAGAAGCAAAAATATTTTGGTATCGACGGATGTGTCGCCTGACAATGTGGGCATCGGAAAGACAAGCCTGACCCGCTTTCGTCCTGCTTGGCCCACTTCTTTATGCAGTAGAGATGAAATATGCAGAAGCATTCATTGCATGACCAAACCGCCACGTCGCAGCGTATATTGTTCAGGCAACTGGCGCATTCGTAGCGCAATGAAACCAACTGTTCAATAATATCTTTGGTTCTTTCTGGAAAACCACCAACGCCTTCGTTTTCAGTGAAGTCCCCCTTCTCGAACTTCATTACAACACAACTGAAGAAGCAGACACGTAGATTTTGCTTTCCCTACAGTGTGTGTGTGTGTGTGTGTGTGTGTGTAAGTATTGCCGATGCGGCAGTCTCCAAGCACTAATGTTTTCTTTCAGTGTGTTCTCTGGCCTACCAAGCCCAGCCAAGTCAGAATGAAATACAATACGAGCAAGGGGAACTTACAGATTTAGAGGAGATCTCCGACACACCCACTCATACATACATTCAAGCATTTTATCTGACACTGTTTTCAACTATTGAACGTTTCATTCAATTCACGATCTCTTAGTTCGTGCAACGCATGAAGCATCTTCTCTCGCGCTGGTATTCTGTGCGATTCACCTTCATCGGTGTTGGTACGATGAAGTTCATCATAATCTGCCAACACATCGGAAACCATTTGACGTGAAGTCTGAAAACACGCATGGAATACAGTGCATAGCCTACCAGCTTTCTTTGGTCCAAAGCCTGGAAGATTCGAAAACTCTTCAGGGGCGGCAGTAAGCAACTTGGCCACTGAACCAAAGCGATGAGCAGCACGAACAACATCGTTACGTGTCATCAACTGAGGCGTTTGGGTAAAGGCTTCAACAAGCACAGGCACCGGTGCACTCTCCTTTTTGCCGGCAACACGGTATTCAACAGAGGCCACGCCACTGCCTGCCAGCCCCTCCAAGTAGCTAGCACACTCTTCTTCCGTCCAACAGAGCATAACACCACAATGCAACTCCACACTGCAATGAAGATTGAGCCACACCATTACATCTGGGCGAGGCTCCAGAGACCCAATAAGAAGAAGAACAACACTGCGCCCAGACGAACCTATTTGAGCCTTGACGGAGGAGATCCGCTTTGACACGACCCCTCTGTATGTAGTCTCACAAAGCCGGTTCATATCATCAATATACAACACAAGCGCTCCTCCGCAAAGGAAGTCGCACACGTCATTGTCCATCCACTCCACCGTGCATCGGTGCCGCTGAAGAAGACGGATAATACTTTTACCCTTGTGCCTCTCAGACACCAACACCACACCGCGCAGCGGCAGAGGCATCCCACGCCTACAACGATGTCACTTGATTCCAAACATACACGCACCCGGAGCAAACAAAAGATCGAGGGAAAGAGACAGAGATGGAAGGAAAAAAAGAATGAATCACAAACTGAGTATAACAAAATGCAGAAAATAGAAACGGTGCCTTCGTCTAGAGAAGTTTCCCTCAATGAAGTGTTAACCAAATAGAAATTTAGCACCTAGTGTATATATATATATATATATATAATGGAAAACCTTACTGAGCAGCGCAACCGACACTCGGGCCTTCCTTTTCTTCGGGTGCGTCTCCCTCCAACTCTCTACGGAGATGGCCGAGTTCCTCTCTTACCACGTGACACTCTTGCGCGTCTTCGCAGGTCTCTGGCTCCACACTCTTCGGAGGGGGTAGGGCGCGCTGGAGGAGATCTATTTGGAACTGCTCTACTCGTGGTGGGAATTCAACATTGAACTTTATTATCAGGTCACCAAATTGTCCAGGACGCTTATACAGCGGCATGCCCTTCCCCACCACCACCTTCGTCTCGCCTGGCTTGGTGATATCACCCCGCTCACGTCGCACTATTAGATCCTTACCATCTAAATGCTCAAAAACAAACTGAAATCCGCATAGGGATTCCGCCAGAGTGATGTTCTTGGTAATGTAAAGGTCGTCGCCGTCACGCACGAATAGATCATCGTTCGTCTCCTCCAAAAGGACATATATATCGCCACACGCGTGTGTATCCAGATCAAAATCTCCTTCTCCGCGCAGCACAATTTCCTCGCGATGACCCATGCCAGGCTCCACTCGCACTGTCAGCGATGATTTAATCTCCTTCGTTCTTTTCCCACGGCACACGGGACATGCATCTACAGCACGAATAAGACGACCTGAACCGCCACACACATCGCACGTCATTGTCACTTGCTGCATCATCATGCCCATTTGATGCATCATCATACGAGTACCGCTGCCTCGGCACGCTGGACATGCACTTGAACTTTTATTCTTCATTCCGTATCCTTCACAGGAGACGCATGCGATGGTGTGTTTACGTGGAACCTTGATCACCTTGCCGTTGTACAAGTCCCTGAGAGTGACAGGTAACGTGCAAGTCTCCTCCTTGGGTTTACGCAGGCGACCCTCACGGCGAAACCCGCCAGCGCCTCCAGTTAAGAAGTCGTTGAACACCTCGTTCATGTCGTCGGAAAAGCTGAACATTGCGTCCACTTGCTTCACTTGTGCAACTAGAGAGATTATAAAGAACGGAAGCAAACCACACATGCACCACGAACCAGATGAAAACGGTGTACATTCCTTCAGCACACAACCAGAATATATATATATATATATATATATATATTAGCTAGATCTAAAAACAAAGGCATTTGACACAACCAAAGCGTGACGTAGTAAGAGACGTATTTGTTTTAATTTAATTCCTTACAAAGAAGAATGTTCGAAACAACGCCGCCGCCTCCATCTCCTCGGACGACAGCCGTAGTAATACGTGGCCATCCAAGTCTCGCTTACCACTTCCCCCAATAGTGTCACGCAGCTCCTGACCAAGTGTGGAGTTGTAGTGCACACCAGAGTACTCGACAAACCCAAAAGTCTCTACCAGCTGAAGGCCAAACGTCATACAGAGTGCGACAAATCTCTCCCATGGTACTATGTACTCGGGAAGCTCACTCACGCTGCTCTCAACAGATATGGAGTACTCAACACCGAAGGAATCGTCAAGATTGGCATCTGATGGGAACACAACTTTATAGACACCATTTCCAAAGGTACTTCCATGCTCACGTGCCCGGCGAAGCAGTTCCATATCATTCACCGTAGTACCAATAAATACACCTCCCGGTCGCAATGCAGTGGACACAGCACGGAGAAACCCACGCATTCTCTCTTCACTGCTGCAGCCGTAGTGAATAGAGAATTGACAAGATATCATGTCCAATCGTCTGTCATGCAAATGTTTCTTAAAAAACTCATCAAACTTCACAGTTAATGCCTCTCCTGTTTCGTCAAAGGCATCACACACGCAAAAATACGCGGGAAAACCAGGATGGTTCTTTTCATTGGGAACCACCTTAACACTCAAGCCCTTAGAAACACAGTAACGACCTGCAGCTTCGGCAATGGCTTCCAAGCAGGAATCCGCCATGAACAACGCCTGAGGCTTGTGTGCCCTCCATTTGAAAAGATCGCCACCACGTCCAGCGCATAAGTCAGCGACAGCAAGGCGATCACGCAAAACCTCATTATTACAGTGAAGCTGGACGTAAGATACTGCGGTGGAAATAAGAACGCTTTTCACCCAATTGTTAAACTGCCGCAGCACGCTCCGGTCCTTTCCACTGGAAAGCTCCTTTGTTTTGCAGGCATAGTGAGCATTTATTTGCTGCACCAATGCATTGGTTTGTGTTTCTGTTTCGACGCATGACACCTCTTCCGTCGTGGATTCAGCAACAAGGCGTGTCTTCTCCCGTCCACAAACTAGGAGGTACTGCAGGTGTTGGATAACGCTCACACCTGTTGATTTTCGGTTTTCACCATTTGGCTGAACAGCAACAATTTTCCATCGACCTGCCTCACCGTCAAAAACAACGTCGACTGTAAAGTCAGACCATGCATAGCTACCCCCAGCGTTTGCCAATGCAATGTACAAGCATTCTGTTAGCTTTGATGTGGGATCTTCTGCAGGGCACCTGAATCCCAACCCCATACATTCGCTAAGTTTGCAGTGGACACAAGGTATGTGCTGTTTTTCCGAGTGAAGTCGCACTGACCAGTAAAGGTGAATCTCATGTTCGCCTTGTGTTTGCAATTGAGTAGCACGAAGTGTAAGTTGGCACGTTTTTTTCTCATACGGTGGTTCTGAAATGCATTCGATGGTTCCTTCCTTCTTTTCAGAGATATCCTTCTCCAATGACTGCACGCACTCCGTGGGGAGTGTGCCATTTACACCAATGATATCCAAAAGCACACGAAGAGTGATGTCTTCCACAAGGCTCTCGAGCACTGAGATGACAGTGACAACCGAGTTTGGCTCAGATTTATCGCTGCGAAGCCGCTCGATCAGCCAGCACTTGTGTTGATGGTCAAACACACACTCCGCAACAATCGAGCTTGTCGTTGGAACGACTAGAGAGTGGGGATTCAGAAGACGCATAGCGGAAGAAAGACGTACTCGACCAACACTGTCAGGACGGTGCCCAAAACGCTTCTTGCGGAAGAACAAATCCACCATATAATCATTCTTCCGGCCTTCAACAGCAGTAAGACTCCAGTCCACTGAAAGCATAGAAGGCCACTTCCACTTCAGTTGCTCCTTGCTTGCGCCCTGAACAAGATCAAACTTTTCCGGGGTGAATATAAAACCATCACTCTTAGTTAACCCATAAGGCCCATCATAGTAGTACACCACTCCGCATGTGTTATCATCAACTTCGTGTCGTTGCAAACGAGAGAGACACTCGCTAAACTTTTCAAGTGGCAGCATCTCCTTCGCAAAGATTTGCAGCGACGGCTCCACTGCAGCTGATGCCAATGAGGCATGTATAGGATTGATGATAATTTCCTTCAACGCTGCGTAACGCTTTGACATGGACCAACGTGCCAGACACATATCATGCTCAACTGCATCCTCCTGTTGCGCGTAGCGGAAGACATCAAAACAGCCAAAGAGTAAACGCGCTTCTTTCTTCACCGTAACCATTAGTTCACCATCAATGGCAAAGGAAATTAATGAGGGAGCCCCATACTCATCAAGGAGGAGATAGGCGCGCTCCATCGAACGGTCAAAGCAGTACGCCATATGTCGCGGGCCCAAACGCCGTTCTACTGATACAGAGCTCAGGCCTGAGACAACTTCACTCGAAGCATCCGTGCAACGATTCAAAACAAACACCTCACCATCACTATTAAGTGCTTTCTCATTATGAGCTTCTACTCTGTAGAGGCCGAGCGAGAGCTGCAGCTGCATACCGTCACCGACAGGAGCGTTTGAGCCGCTGAACTCGAGACGCATCCTTTCCAATGTCATCGCGTCGTCGAGTCGTAAAGAGCGTGGGGGGCCACCGTCCATCTCACGAAAATACCAGCGCGGAAACATGGGAGCAAGCAAAGACACCAACACAACACGCGTGCCATCACTTTTTTCAGTAACCAAGTACTGACTCTTCTGCAACATCGCGGCGTGTGATTTTCGCATGGGAGAGCATAGTGGGCCCATAAATTCGTTTGCGCGGCTAGAAATAACAGCATCAGCAGCGTACGAGAAAACAGCTTTTGGAACGCCTGGAGGAGGCCCAGTGTTGCCCTTTCGGGTGCGTGCCAATAGCTGCTCGTAGGCGGCGTGCACGGAACCACCATCATTACAATGAGCCCCAGGTGGCGAGCAGTGCACAGTCTGCACAAACTCCTCATCAACTGGAAGCAGCAAAGATTTCCCAACAAGCCGTTGGGCGGAGCTGTGCAATTGCGATAGAGAGCTCACCGACGCCATTCTTCCCTTTCCTTTCCTTTCCTTTTATTTTTTTTTTGGAACCACGCAGTCACAGAAACAACAAGAGGAAAATGCCCTGGGCCCCATGAAAGCAGCAATGGAGCAACTACAAAACGTGTGCAAATCGTAAGATTGTTGCTCCGAGTAGGACGGGCAGTAGGCACCATCCGTTTCGCTTGGATTTATTGCTCGTTGTGTCGGTGTCTCCTATTTCTTCTTCCTCCAACCGTTCGCACAGCAGCCCCCCCACACGAGAAGCAAACAGAAAAAAAACAAAAACGTAAACGAGAAGAAAAGGGACAAAAAACAAAACAAAAAAAGGCATTTCACTCCTTTCTCCATATATATATATATATATACTCACCTCTGCTTACAGTTCTTTTACTTTGACTGCTCATTGTTGCTTCCTCCATCTTCACAACGCCAGCCGGGGGCGGGAGCGGGATGGGAACTGCCCCACGAGACGCACCGATCACCGCCGCATTGGGGTGAGTGAGACCGGACGCCGCGGAGCCAATGAACGAAACGGAAGCAAAGAAAGAAGGAAAGACCAATGCGTGCGCATGAAATTTAATTAATGCATCCCTTTTCATACAGTTGTTCTGTCTTCATTGTATCGGCGCGTGGGCCAGAGGGGTGAGCAAGAGTCCCCACCACCTCACACGTCGGCCAACACGGATAGCACGACAGTTGCGAGGTCGACGGGCACGCCCGTATGGCACCGCCCGGGATGATGAGAAAAACGGAATACAGAAAGAAGAGCGAGAGGGAGAAAATGATAATGGAGCACACGCAGAAATTTTCGTCTTTGGTTTTTCAAACACGATGCTACCCCATTCCCCCTCCCGTTGCCCTGCTGCTCCACAAAGAAGCACATCCTTCCGGCTTTATACAAGTGTTCCTTGATGTATTCACCACCTGCTTGCGGTCATTTCATCGGTGCTTCGAGTTGGCATCCGAGTGACTCTGCGGGCCAGACGCGGCGCGCAAAGGGGAAGTCACGTATTGAACAGCAGGCAGGCCACCAAAGAAGCGAATCAAACTCACAATAAGGGGGGGGGTCAAGAAATTGCACTCGCCACACTCGAACAGGAAAGAAGAAAAAAAGGTGGAGGGTGCACAGAGCCGCATTAACACCACGCAACCATATGGAAAGGAAAGAAAAATAAACGGGTACTAGGAGCAAAAGAATCAATGAGCCTATAGGGGAAAAAAAAGAAGAAAAACAAAAAAAACAAGAACCTCCCCCCAAAGAAAGCCAACAGCATGATACTCTCCTGCTTGCACTGCTCACCCCTTCCCTTTTCTCCGAGGTCGAGAGCAAAAACGAGCAGGCACAGGGAGCAAGAGGGAATGCGTATAAACTGCGCGGCGTGGGGAATTGACAAGGCTGGTATTTCTGGGATCATCACCGAGACGAAGGTGTGTGGCAAAAATAATAAAAGCCGTACAACAACGATTAACTCATTCCCCCTCTCCCTTTTTACTCATTATTTCCTTTCCCCTCCGTCTTCAGCCATATCACGCTGCGGCTCCGAAC